AGCCATTTGCGTTGACGACTTCCTTTTCACGTTGCGCTGACCAATGCCAACGCCGCCGCCGCCGCCGCCGCCACCGCGACATTGCGTTTGCCGGGAGTTTGCTTTTCCTGCTGGCCATTTCTGCAGGTCGCTTTCTGTGTCTTAGCGCAGGAGCTTTGACTGTCATTTCGCATTTCACAGTTTCGCATGCCTGCATGCTTTTGCGGGTGCCAGCTTGTGCTCTGAAGGGGTAAGGTGTGTTGGGGAGGGTGATTGTGAGGGTTTGTGGTGCATGGGTGCACCGCGCCTCACGGCTTGACCTGGTTAATCCCATGGGGCTCTTGCTAGTCATCCTGTGCTTGCAAATGAAGCGGATTGCATTTTCTGTCCTGGCTTCTGCATGCGGTCGCTCTCGCCGACAATCTTCGCCAAACATGTAGTTCTTGGATTGAAGCCGTCGCCGTGACCGCAACGTCCATCCTCACAATTCATGTCGCCTGCAGTCACGCGAAAGCAACTTTCGTGGTCGCCAACGCTGTCGAGGCGCGGCTTTGCTGCTGCCTTGCTGCTGCCGTATCAGCTCGCTTCTTCTCGCCAACGCTGTCCAGGCGCGGCTTTGCTGCTGCCTTGCAATCGTTTCGGGGTGTCAGCTTGTGCTGTCGGTGGAACGTGGCTGGGGGAGGGTGAGTTGGGGGTCTGTGGTGCCTCGGGGCACCGCGCCTCACGGCCCGACCTGCTGTTTCCGTTGGCTCTTGCTGTTCCACTATCATAAGCCACTGATTCCATCCTACAAATGATTGTGTGTATCCGCAGCGAAACTTGTGTGGCGCAGGGACCTTGCCTGTCCCGTGCTTGCCATTCATGCTGTCCAATGTCATGGTAGGCGCTGCTGACGAAAACGAACCTGGCGCAGGGACTTTGCCTGTCCCGTGCTGCCATGCTTTCACCGTTATCCGCCGCGAAACTTGTGTGGCGCAGGGACCTTGCCTGTCCCGTACTTGCCATTCATGCTGTCGAATGTCGTGGTAGGCGCTGCTGACGAAAACGAACCCGGCGCAAGGACTTTGCCTGTTCCTTGCTGCCATGCTTTCACCGTTATCCGCCGGGAAATTTGTCTGGCGCACGGACCTTGCCTGTCCGGTGCTTGCCATTTCATGCTGTCTAATGTCATGGTAGGCGCTGCTGACGAACAGGAACCCGGCGCAGGGACTTTGCCTGTCTCGTGCTTCCATGCTTTCAACGTTTGCATTGTCGCAGACCTATCCTAAACCGTGGCTTCAGCACGTATTTTGTTCCGCCGAAAGGGACGGTGCGGCGCGTGACGCAGGGACGTGGGGCGCGGGAGGAGGCACGCCGGGACGCGGACGGGGGGCTGCACGATTTGCGACGCGGGAACGAGGGACGCGAGATGTTTGACGCGGGACACGGGAACGAGTGACGCGGAGGCATGCGTGACACAGGGACGTGGGGTGCGGGATGTGGCACGCGGAGGCACGCCGGGACGCGGACGGGACGTGGGATGCCTGATGTGCGATGCGGGAACGAAGGACGCGGGATGTTTGACACGGACGGATTGACGCGCAGGCACATGGTACGTGGAATGCGCGACGCGAGGAGCACCAGGGATGCGGAACGCGCGAGGACGCACGAGTTAACCCCAAGTCGTATAAACCCCCCACGTAGGTCGCCCCCGCTGCCCCCCGTATACCACCGCACGACTATACTTGGAAGGGCAAGGGACTTAGTAAGTAGGTTATGAGTAAAGTTATAATTGGGAGAACTCTATTTAGGGTACTTATAACTCTACTTATAACCTACTTACTTACTAAGTCCCCTGTCCTTCCAAGTAGTACCTATGCCGCGACGGCAGTGCGGACGCGGACGTAAAAGGGTGCCCGCCATCGCCGCCGCCAGCCGCGTGCCCGCCGTTATCATGTATCCTCAAAACTTGAGGTTTAGGGTATATAATGAATTTATCAAGTACCACTGCTGGTCCACGGGACAACTTTTCCGGTACCCGGTACGACATGGGCGCTACGGTCCTCACGGCTGTGGAAAAGGGGGCTGGCGTATAAGTCTTCTGAAGGCGACCCGGTCCTGACCCGCACGCACGCAGGCATGCGTCTGCGGCGTGGGAAAGCACATATGAAGGTTCTGGGACTGCCCAGCCGGGAATGCAAAATTGAATTTTTGTATTAGCGGCCTGTTTAGAAATCGACCAGTTTCGGGAGCTCCTTCGATGCCTCGTTTCTGGCCCGCCGTTATGCGTTTCTCATATACACATGTGCGTTTGGAACACACATGTGTGTTTCCGCTGTATAATTGTAATTATTCGGAACACACATGTGTGTTATTGAAAACACACATGCGTGCTCCCCGAACACACATGTGTGTTCTCGGAACACACATGTGTGTTTGCGCGACACACATGTGTGTTGTCGGAACACACATCTGTGTTCCGATTCTTGTGCCAATGCCGCGGCGGCAGTCAGTCCTATGGCATGTATTGCAAGCTTTGCTCTGCGCGTTGCAAAGTCCGGGGAGCGCGGACTCTAAACTTCATGCTCGGCCCCAGCCTTGAACTAGGCAGGGGCGACTGTCCGGCGGAGCGCGGACGTAAAAGGGAGCCTGCAAGTACACGCTGGGTGCCCGCTTGCCGCCCAGCATCACTGCTTGCAGGTCCCATCACGCTTGCCTACTGCGTGGTGACACGCAGTAGGTCGTCGGACGCCCCGCGACGTTAACTCGTGGCCCTCGAGCCCGGGTGGAGGTTAAATCCCCGGGGGACCTCCCTGTCCATTGCTGGAGCAAACATGCACAACAACCTCCGCCTGCATGGCGACGTGTCCCGTGGCCGACCTCCTACTGGAGCGGGTAGGGGGCGGAGCCGGGCACGTCAACTACCATGCTGGCGGAGGTTGTGTGCGTGTGCTCCAGCAATGGCTGTGGAGGCACTCCTGAATAAACAGAACTCTCGCCAATTTTTTGATTCTTCTTTTGGAAGGATGAAATGCTCACGTGTTGCCTTGGGGTTTTTGGGTTTAGGATGTATGCAACCACCCAAAAACGCCGACAAGTTTGTATTTCAGTGTAAAACCATATGCCAACAAGCACAAAATTCCGAGTCGAGGCCATTCCTTAGGGCACGACCAAGAAACGCCCAAAGTTCGAAAAAAATGCGTGACTAGATTTAGCCGTGCTTGACACATCCTCGACTGGGATTCGCAGGCAAGCTTTGGCAAGCCTTTGGTGGCCAGCGTGTGACGCGGGTCCAGCCAAGTACTGCCTCCGACATACACATGTGTGTACGTAAAGCATAGAAAGGACAAGTGCTACTAGCCGCTGCTCGTGCGATGCACATGTTCCTGTGTTGTTATTCGCTCACACGACGGTCTCAGGGGTTGAAAAGGGGGTCATCAGAAACCCCTTGCCTCCCGTGACGCTTCGCGCAGGCCGGGGGCCTGAGCCGGGCAGGGAATGGCCCTGCTCTTAGGATGTATGCAACACTCGAAAACACCGGAGCAGTTGATATTTCAGTGGAAAGCCATATGCCAAATCGCCCAAAATTTCGATTTCAGGCCATGCCTTTACGGCATGGCCAAAACGCCCAAGGTTCGAAAAAACAACGTTACTAGATTTGGCTGCCTACAGGCGTAGCAACTTTAAAATTGTAGTACAAATACCGCGAGCGGGCTACCAACACTGCATTTGTAGTGCAAATGCCGAGACTGTATTACCGGCGCCGCGACTGTAAGACAAATGCCGCGAATTGTAGTTCTAACGCCGAGACTGTAGGACCGACGCCGCAACTGTAATACGACTGCTGTGAGCGCGGCGATCGCGATAGCAGTAACTGCTATTTCGCCGCGATTGTAGTACCTTCGTTGGGAGATTGTAGTACCGGCGCCGTCGATTGGAGTACCACCTCCGCGAGCGGCATGCCCACGTCGCGAGCGGCGTACCCACACTGCAACTGTAGCGCCCGTGCCGCGAGCGGCATGCCCACACTTCAACTGTAGTGCCCATGCCGCGAGCGGCGTGGCACACGCCGCTCGCGGAGGAACAGCGCCGGGATATGCTCGGCCCCCAGCCTGATTTCAGGCAGGGACCACGCAACTTTCCGTGAGCTACTTTTTTTAAGTTGCGCCGCTGTGCCTGCGAGCTGTTAGCCTCGCGAGCACCAGCGACTTGGCGAATGCGTTTGTGCTGGTGCACACGGCATGTGTTTGCTTCGATTCCGCATACACATGTGTGTGCCGAACACGGCCGAAATTCGACCGACGATTGTTTTCTAGCGTCGCGCAGGTTTCCATGAGCTGTTTTTTTAAGGTTGCACTTCTGTGCTGGCGCCATCTTAGCATTGCGAACGCTAGCGACCTGGCGACCGTGTTTGTATTTATGCACTTTAGCGCCGCGGGACTTTGGTTCGGCTGTTTTGTGTAAGGTGCAGCGCTGTCCCTTGAGAGCTATTCGTGTAGCACAGACCACCGAGCGAATGCAGTTGTGCTTCTGCACACGTTCCGGAGCCCTGGCGCTGGATACGAGCGTTATTGGTTTTGCTGTCGTCAGAAAGAGGCTCAAACAGCCTGGGTTCCAGGAAAAATAGCGTCCGGTTCTCGTCGTGCTATACACGCGAAGTGCCTTTGGCAATGTTGGCATAATGCTGTTTCGGACAGAAGGGCGTTCATGTCACGAATGTTACAGCATATACCCAGGTGGAATGTGGAAGTTGCAGCCGGCAGTGGTACCGTTCGACCTTACAAACGAAGAGGAAAACCGATACGAGAGGCCGGCGTGTGCATTTAGAACTTTGGAAGTGTTCTGCCGCGCTAGACTAATGCAGCATAGCATGTCGGTGCAGGCGAGACAAGTTTGGCAATGTGTGGCACGGAAGGAAAGAAGACTTGGGTGGGCGCAAGGTGTCGGACGCCATTGACGCAGAGTGGGGGTCCAGAAAGCGTTGCCAGGTAAAGCGGCCGGGCCGCACATATGTCTATTGCCGATGCAGCGACGGGTGCCCAATGGTGGTGCAATATGGCTCGGAGAATGGGAAGCTGGTGCGGGAGGCGAAAAATGAACACCAGCATGCGGCGGATGTGCGTGCAGACATCCGAAACATAGCTTCCCAACCGGAGCGGGCAGGCGCTGCGTTGGTCGAGTGGTCCATCGCGCATCCTGACGGTAAACTCCCCACACGCCAACAAGTCCAGACACGCAAGCAATACACAAGGCCTGCGCGGGTGGAGGATAAGATCCCCGAAGTTCTTGCCTACGTGCAATCGATCAAGGACAGGGAAGCCACGGAACCCTGGCATTGTCGGGTGCTCGAGGTGGACGAGAGTGCCGGTATTTTTTGCTTTACCACGGACTTTTATGTAAGCCTCCTGAAGGAGCATTGGGAGACATTGATGGAGCATGGGTTACGCTTGGCATGCGATGGTACGCACGACATCTCCAACAGTGGCATCAAACTGATTGCTGTTGGTTGGTTGGCGCAGCATGTGCCCCGTGACACCATCGAAACTACATTTGTATTGCTTGCTTTCGCTTTATCGCCGAGCGAAAATCACGTGGCGGTTCGCATGCTTCTTGAGAGCGTAGATGCACACGTGCGGGAGCATGTCCCTGATGGCTTGCGGAAAGCATCTGTCGCTCATCTTGATGGTGGCCCTGCTTTGGTTAAGGGCTTTGTGGAGTTTTTTGGTCAAGATTTCCAGTTGGTCCGAAGCCTTGAGCATGTCAAGCGCAACATCCGGGACCAGGGCGTGAAAAAGCTGACACAAAGCTCTTGGTGGGCCTCTACGAAAAGGTGGGTGTCGAAAAGCGCTTTCATGCGCAACGATCACGTGTTCGATCGATACTGGGACCACTGCTTCCAACTCCTGGAAGATGCCGGCGAGTCGGACTTCGTGGCATACCTGCAGACGGAGCATTTCCAGAAGGATGCAGGTGTATGGACGGCCGCCTGGCGTGCGGCAGTCCTCGACCCCGGCTATGGTTCCTATTCGTTGAATGCGGTGGACTCCTTTTGGAAGTTGCTGGATCACTATGTCCCGGAGGAGAAGACTTTGCCGCTGAGGCAGGTTATGGAGCGTTATGAACACACGGGCCGAGTTTTCCAGAATGATGGGAAGTGGAGTGCCTTGTGTGTTGCACCATCGACGTTGATAACCCCCTCGTTGGTCGGGGAAGCATCCACGAAGTTGAGCCCCCGCCTGGATTGGAAGGAGGGCAAGCAAGTGGGGCGTATGAGCTGCAGGACGTTGGAGCGACTGCTTGAGCAGGAAGCACCCTTGATGCTGCAGTTCAACACCGGGCAAGAAAATGCCACCCAGGTGTTCTGCAAATATGGTCCCTCGGACTTCAACGCCGTGGAAATGGAAGCCTTGTCCGATCTGGTGCGGTCGACATGTTCGGCACAAGTGGACGCAGCATTCCAGAGAATTGGGGCCTTGGATGAAAATGGCTTCCACCCACGGCGGGTCAGTGCCACCTACGAGAAATTCACGGCACTGTATGAAGAGGAGGGTAGGCTGCTGGAGTCCCATCAGGATTATTGGCAACGTGGCATGACAGAGCATTTTCTACATGTCTCTAAAGCAAATTTCGGTGCCACGCTGCCAGAAGCCTTCTCCTCCCTAGTCCCGCGCTCCACACCAACGGGGCGCCCTCGGGGCCGGCCCAAGGGCGCAAAGCGCACTAGCGGTGCTCGCAAATCACCGGCCCGGGGCCGCTCCAGGGGCCGTGGATCCAGAAAAAGGGCCGCGGCAGATGGGACTGCAGCAGGTGGCCGCTCAAGGGGGCGAGGCCGCGGCTCGAGGAAGAGACCCGCGGCAGATGAGATAGCAACAGGTGTAGATCAACAATTGGAAGACCTTTTCGGGGAAAAGGCGGCTTCACGCGGCCTGGAGCATTTGCTGGGGTCAGGTTTTTCAGGCGACACCACCGCGCCAGCAACTCCACCGGAGGTCACCGCGCCAGCTACTCCACCTCAGGTCGCGGCAAGGTTGGCAATCATGATTGCAGAAGGTCGGCTGCCAAGGACGACCGCCGAGCAACGTCGTCGCAACCACCGGACATCCGGCACCACCTACGGAGTCCCCGAAGGCTTGACAGAAGCCTTAGAGGCTGGTTACATCCATCCCAACTTGCCTCCTCCACAGGGCATGGTTTGGAACTTAATCGCGCACAAGACCTTTGCGCTGCAAGCGCGTGGTGGTTGAACCCTCCGATGATGCAACTCCAAAAGACCAGGACGGCGGTGGCTAAAGGGCAAGCAAAACCCCCCAATCAGTGCCATCGTGCAGCCACAAGAAAAAAATCGAGGTGATGATCGTTCGAACTGCGCTTGCTGCTCGCACTGAGACTTCTTGACGGGCAGTCAGCCGTGCCTAGAGGCCTTCAGAATGCGAGACAAGCTTGAATGTCTTTTCCGAATTGCCTTGCTGCGCAAAGAAGAACCAGGTGCGCAAGAGAATTGAAATTGCAACGGGGAGATCCAGCATTTTAGTCATCTGGTGGTGAGCAGACAGATAATGCCTCAATCTCAAGGAGTGTGACCTCATGCGATCCCCTTCTGGGGATAGTGGTGGCATCGTCTATTTCGGCTCTGCCTACTTTGCCCAGTGTTCCAGTTTCCTGACAGTGGCGCGATTTGCCAACGACAAGTACAAAGGCGTCAAGGACCCGGCTGGTTGGTTTCAGAAAGAGGCGATTGTTTGGGAGTTTAGTGAGTTTAGTGTCTGTCTTCATCGTCGCCTTGTCACTTTCGCAGGATACGGCCGATGCGAGGCTCAAGCCATCCACCTTCTTCATCACTGGCGGATCTTACGATGTTTACAGGCGGAGCTTGTAGGATTAGCGATGTTTTGCAGACCAATCTGAATTCTTCGAAGATATCGACTGCTGAGTATGTATTTGAAAAGGCTCCGAGCTGCCTTCGTTTCGTGCCTGTGGCCAAGATTGTGTCAATTCCTGCTTGTGGGGGCAACCTCAGTTGTTCTAGCACATGGTGTGGCCTTGTGAAATTGGTATTTGAAGCCAGCTCCTCCTCCCTCTTCGTACTGCTGCGTAGTATTTGCGTACTGCCGCTGTTACCGCCATTAGGACCATTAGGACGACGACGCCACCACTAGGACGACGACAACTGCTAATTACGATTCGGACGACTACTACTACACTGCTACTGCTCTTGCTACGACCATTTGGTAAATAGTAATTTATTCTGATATGATTCCGATGGTGAGCACGTTGCCGTTCTGAGGCTGGCATGGATTGTTCTCCCTGTCCTTGTGACTATTGGCCGGAAGCTTCCATGTCTATGATTGGAAAATGATTGAAGTCCTACTCACAACAAGCAGTGTCGTGACAGTCACTTACAAATGTAGTTTGATAGGCATGTGAGCCTCGTATCCTATAGCCTTGGCATCAGTTCTGCCTTGAGGCTCCCGTGGCTTGGGCGACTTTGCCCTGACGCTGTCGCCCAATTCATCCATCGGGTACGCACCAAAAGGGAGAGTCGAACCAATGTACAATCCTTTGCCCTGTTTTGTCCTGAACCCGTGGCAGGAGCGGAGCAGGCATTGCGGGGGCTGCGTACTCAATGTGCGTCCCTCAAGGCGCAGGGGAAATTGGCGGCCTGCTGAAAAGCTGCAAAGCTTGGGAAGGCCGTACTCGCGTTTTGTCTCTGTCTCCCCCCGGTGCACAGTCCGTCCGCGCTCCGGCCTCAGCTCAAAGCGGTTCTTTGCCGCACTGGTCCAGGTTTTTCAAAAGTCCAAAGGCCGACCCATTGTTCGTGGGCCCCTACCGGCATGTCCTGAACCGGGAAATCGTCAGAGTTTGAGGCCCTTTGGATGCAATGTGAAATGAAAAGGGGACTCCGGAGCACAAGTATGCTCAACGTGCTCAGCAACCGGAGCATGTCCATGAGTTGGCTAAGCCCAATTGTAAACTGAACCCAGGTTGGAAGAGGCCAAGTTCTACAAATCTCTCGGTCTCCACAGCCGTGAGGCTCGCTGGTGGCAAATTTTGCTCGCCCCAAATCTTACAACACACTACAAACACATCAACCTCTACAGATCCCAAGGATAAGTCCGTTCTGGTGACTGATCTGTTGCTGAATGGACTCCTGCAAACCTCTCCGCCTCGCGCCCAGACCCGTCCGCAGGACCCTCAGTGGCCTCTCATCAGCGCCTCGGCTGTTATGGGCCCTTTTCTCCGCCTTTCGGTCTGAGTCGCAAAGCGTTTGAGCTCTGCGAGCTTCAGGATGGGTTGGAACTGAGGGGCAGTACGACATGATGGTCATGGATTTGCCCCTTGTCTCACATGTCGTTGGTTCGTCGACATCGTGACATGACACGTGTTGGGCATGTGCTTCTTGGTCTTTGGGAGAGGTCTTGGACAGCCGAGATGTCATCACTACTAGAAGTGTCGTTCTGCGGTTGCGCGAGGCTTGGACCATCCCTGGATGCATGCTTCAAGCACTGTGGATCATTTAGTTTGAAGACTGTATTGACAGTTGCCATTCAGTCCCTTGGAGGCAGCAAGAGGCAAGCTATTCCTGTCGGTGCATTACAGTCCCAGACCACACAATCGCAGTTTTCACCGATGTCCTTGCACAGCACTTTTTTGGGCTTTGTGTAGTGCATCGCTTTGCATCTCCGGTTGCGATGAGACAGGTGTTGTAATGAGACGGCGAGCTGAGGATGATCGACCGCCTCGAATAAGTGCACAACTGCGGCATCTTGTACAGAGACATCAAGCCTTTCGGCCGCATCCCAGCTTGGCAGCCACAGTCCTCCGCAGCTTCACTTCAGCTCAGGCCGCATGACTTTTTGATGGGTTTGGGAGCCCCAGCCTCAGTGGGAGATGTGTCCTCTGTTACACTCCCTTGCATGTATACCGCCGAGGCACACAACAGCCGAGTCTACATCGTAGACTTCGGGCTTGCAAAAAGCCATGCGGCAGCAGTTTCGACACTGGCTCTCTTCGTTTGTTTTGTCGTTCGCACCTGTTCATGAGTCGTTCGTACAGTCGTGGGAGCTTGCTTCTCAAAAAGCTCAACCATCAAGGATACATTGACAAGCACGGCCGGTGACGTTCTCAGTGCGGTGCTGCCTCAGAAGCGATCGGTCACAGGAAGGTTTTGGATAGATTCATGTGTGAGCACACGTAGACCAGCGCCAGCACGTTTCAGGCATATTGCATGTTCCAGCAAGAAGCGGAGCGGCGTAACCGGCGGCAGCCTCACTTTCTTCCAATAGTCTTCTATTCCAACAGTTTCCTATTCATCTCCCGGGTAGACTCACCAGCACCTGCGCACTGGCGTGGCAGCACAGCTTACAACACACTCATAGACAACCAGCAGATCGGGTAAATTCGTAAATCATGCGAGGGCCCCAGAGCCCTATACCGGACAACCCGGAATCGCCATCGCCAAAGACTAGAGACCTCGAGGCAATATGCCAGCGCACCCCATCTGCGACCTCAGGCCGCAAACATCCAGCATTCGCTGTTTCAAGTCGGGTTTGATATTCCAGAGCATTGAAGTTCAACTTCTTGAGGTCAAAGGCTTTAGGTTACACAAGCTGGAGGTAATGGACAGAAGCCATGCCAGTCAACGATGCCTCCTTTTTATTGGCAGGTTCTTGTTGCCGTGCCCCGGCGACCTTTGCCTAGGCCAAATGCTACAAGTCGTCCTGCCATGCGCCTACACTCTGCGATGTTAGTTTACGCGCAGTACTCACAGATGGACATACTACCCTGCGATGTGGCCATCCTTTGATCAGTGATCAATTAGCGAACCCACAGTCAACCTAGAATCAGCGCCACGGTTTGTGGAACGCAGTGGAATGCCGCTCTGCACAATAATTGCACAATACGTGATATCAGGCCTGGCAAGTGCTGCTCATGATGAGTTGGCTGTGCACTGGCCAGCATCAGATGCTGCGCCCGGTTGGTAAGTCTTCGCTGCGATGAGCGAAGCCATCCAGCTGGAAGCGCCATCGCTACATCGCTTTGTTTTCGGCCAGAGCCTCCCCAGGGTCAGCACTCACTTCCGCGGGCGTCAAGGGCAACCTGGCTTCCCAATCATCATACGAAATATCAGTTGCACTCGACCTATCCGGGAATATTTCGATTACTGAATCATGCAATTATGAGACCAGGCAAGCTAGGTGCGATAAGATAGATTTGATAAGAAATTCTAAGACCGACCTTATTGCAAGATGATTTTGAGGTTTTTGACCGGATATGATAAGATTGGAAAGATAGAATTGATATATTTGTTCGGCAGGTCTAATACGATAGGAAGGGCAAGGACTGATAAGATTTATCTGCTATATTAGTTCTGAAAAAAGATTTGATAAGATAGGCTTGCAAAGATAAGAAAAAAGATACACTTGAATAGATAGGCCTGAAAAACAGCTAGAGCAAGAGAGGTCTGGAATAATAGTTATAAAATGACAGATTGAAACGTTAACTCTGGAAATTCGAAATATAGTCGTAGGCATTATAATTTGGAAGATAGACTTGAGAAATAAGATGTGAAAAAGAAATTCGAGAAAAATTGGTAGAATTTGAAATTTAGATAGAAAGTTCTGAGAAGATATTCAGATTTCACAAGAAAGACTTGAAAAAGAGAAAAATAGATCTAGAAATAGATAGATTTAGAAAGAGAGACCTAGGGAAGGAAGAGAATAATAATTGTAGCAATTTAGATTCTGTTAGAACAAGAGCCCCTCCCATCCTTCCTCCGTGCTCTCAACTTGAACTCTTTTCCTTGGTTCGACCCTGCTTCTTTTTTTTAACTCTTGAATAGAAGAGAATACTAGTTTTGGGAATTCAGATTTAGAAAACGGAAACTGTGAAAGAAGAGAATCAGAAATTTAGAATCTCGTAAAAAGAGACTGTGAAACAAAGAGAATTAGAAATCAGATTTTAGAAAAAACAGACTTGCCGAAAGAAGAGACAAGTGTTTGAAGAATTTAGATTAAGAAAGAGAGACCTATGAAGGCAGAGAATATTAGTTTGAAGAATTTAGATTAAGAAAGAGAGACCTATGAAGGCAGAGAATATTAGTTTGAAGAATTTAGATTAAGAAAGAGAGACCTATGAAGGCAGAGAATATTAGTTTGAAGAATTTAGATTAAGAAAGAGAGACCTATGAAGGCAGAGAATATTAGTTTGAAGAATTTAGATTAAGAAAGAGAGACCTATGAAGGCAGAGAATATTAGTTTGAAGAATTTAGATTAAGAAAGAGAGACCTATGAAGGCAGAGAATATTAGTTTGAAGAATTTAGATTAAGAAAGAGAGACCTATGAAGGCAGAGAGAAATAGTTTGAGGAATTTAGATTAAAAAAGAGAGACCTATAAAAAGAAGAAAATAATAGGTAAAGATATTTAGATGATTTAGTTTGGAAAAATTAATTTAGAAAAATATTGAAGAATAGATATTATGATAAATGATACTAGATCAATATAAGTATATAGATTGATAATTCACAAAGAAAGTTACTTTTATTTATTTTCCAAAAAATATTTTCAAAAATTATTTCGAAAATAATTTTTGAAAAAATTGTGACGTGATATATTTCTATTCTTCTTTATATTAATTTCATATTTCTTTTTATTTATTATAAATTCCACAAGAAGAAAAAATAACTACTCCTATTTTTAAATTTGAAATAATTCTCTTCGAATCTCGTTCGATTCATCTAAGAAGAATTATTCAAGATTATATAGAAGAAATATTATTACTTTTCGAAAGATACTATATTTAATTTACGAAAATAGACAACCTCTCAAATTTCGAGCATAATCCCGGTCGCACCTCTAGAAATCCCCAAGCTCTTAT